TTGATTTTGATGATTTTTAAGCACAAAAATGGCCGTCATTCGGCCATCTTGAATCAGATCGTGAAACAAATTGACATGCATATGTATGATATATCATGTATAATGTATGTGTGAAGTTTGATTGTGATTGGTCCAGGCATTTCTAAGATACAGGTCCGGACGCACACACAGACGCACACACAGACGCACACACACACGCACAGACACACGGAGGTCAAAACATAAGTCCCCGTTTTCGGACTTCGTCCGAACGGGGACTAATAAAGATGCAGATAATAGAGCAAATATGTCTAGTTAGCTAAATTGCTACAACAATTCTGCACTACCAATTCCTTCAAGTCGTTTTAAAGAAAACCTATGGGGAATACGTAATTTATGTCATTTCATGATTCCCCTGTCTGTTATAGATTGAATCAACCCTGGAGCGTTCGAAAAAACATATCCACATCAGTGCAGATGGATTCATGGACACTATTTTACATTATCACAAATTTTGCTAGATCGTCATTTGTGCTTAATATAGAATCCATTATCTTTAGGGTGTGTGAAAGTGAGTGAGTGAAAACAAATGTGAGTGAAATAGAATCTATTTATATGATTAAGTTGTTAGTATTCCAATGCAGTGTCAACTCACATATACATACTACAAAAAACTAGCTGGATCATATACTTGGGGGTGGAAAATAATATAAGGTTATTACGAGGATACCTCAAAGTATACACAAAGACAGTACGGACTCGGAGGGAGTATCGACTGACACGCAGCAGAGGTCAATGCAACGATGTACTGTCTGATTGCATAATTTGAGGTATCCTCGTAATAACCTTATTATTATACATCTTTTCCTTCCAAGGATACATCATGAAATCCAAAAAGGTTTAGAACAGAATCAGCGAACTTCTTCGTGTGGAGTCCAATCAAACCCTGATGGCAGCCATGTTTCTTTTTTTATTATCAGAGAGCACTTATGTGCGTAATCATTCCATATTTGGAATTCACATTTCCTAATATGGTAGAATAAAAACACAATAATGCAACAATGTTATTGTTAGTCCGATGATGATATATATTTTTTTTTTCATTACAGATAATTTTTGTAGAGCATTTTTGATTGGACGTATAAAATCACATGACTCTTACTGTGAAATCTTATTTTGTCTGTTAAAATAAAATCTTTTGAGGTATCATTATACAAATGTTTGACAAGATAATGGTATTTGGTGATGAGCTGCTGTGGTTATAAATAGTGCATTTCCATGCAATTCATGGGAAAAATTAAACAGCTTGAAGGTTATTGACACAGATCTGAGAAGCCATAGGGAAAATGCGTAAATTCACTCAATTCTTATCTATATAGAACACTGATTTATCCTCTCAGCAAAAATACTGTACAATCAATTGTGAATGAAGCATTCATAAAATACCCTACTCATTTATACAGGAAAATAAAAATATTGAATAAAAAGGTTTTTTTATATTTAAAAAAAAAATCTCACTTCAATATAAAATCTACACTAAAAAGAATAAAATTTCTTTATATTAATATAGCTGAAAAAGCAAGTTCTGAAGACATGACTTAAAACTTAAAACATGACAGTTGTTATACATTGCACAATTTTTGTACATGTTACTTCTTCAAGTCTTGCATTGGCTTGCATTATACATTAGTTTATAACTATGAAAAGAAAAACAATTCTCAGTATATGTAAATAAATAGAAAGCAGCTAGAAAAGGAATGGTACAAGCCAGCGACATAAGGCCATTAAAACCATTTCAACATTGCATGCATAGCCATCTGCTTTTGCTTATTATATAAGCATTAAAATCTGTTTTTTTTTTTTAACAACCTTCAGGTTAGTTTGGTTCCAAATTAATATTTTAGAAACAGAAAGAAGAAATATGGCTCTAATGTAGTAGTGAAACAAATTACATTAGAGAATACAGGGAAATGAATGATGGTCGGTGTGATGTCTCTTGGTGTGTCAATTTCGATCGTATAAGCACCAATATCTGAAAAGTCTCAATGATGTAATACTTTTAGCAGTTTATATAAAAAAAATTTTTTAAATATGCTGTATTTGTGCATAAACAGATCTAAAACATCTCATTTCTTGGAATTTGTCAATATCTCATGTAACCTTGCACTTAATTAATCAAAATCACATTTGAATCTTAAAGAGATGCTCATGACGCATCAAAGAAAACACCACAGTTGACTGTTCCTGTACTCTCCAGTGTGTGAATATTAAAATCGTTGAGTTGAAAATCAATAATCCTTTGATTCTTATGAATTGTTTTTATAGTTTAAATGGTCTATTCTACATAGCAGTATCTAAATATGGATGGTAATATTGATGAAGGGAAGACAGTAAAGGGTACGACTATATTTAGGTTACATACTTTACGCATTTGCAAATTACATATATTAATTTTAGTGTGGTCAGTCCAAAACCAATGACAATTTTGAATAATCATGTCTCAATAAAAATGATCATGTCCTTTTCTTGAATTTAAATAAATAAGTCATCTTTAATGTCTCTGTTCTTTGTTTCATGCCAACTGTAATTTTTGTCATCGATATATATATTAAGAATTCAATAGCGTTCACGGCAATTAACCATATACATTTCAGGTCCTCGTATCAACTTCCTAGAGGTACAATTTGGATAGCAAGCCCATAGCACCACGATGGGATGCAATCAAGATTATATATATATATATATGAATATTTTATACAGTGTGGTGAGTCAGGGTCTCTTCTAATCACTTTGATATGGTTCAAACATGTACTAATTTAGATGGCAAGCCTGCAGCATGGTGATATGACATGCAATTTTTATACATACAGCGCAATTAGTTGGAATTCCTCCAATCATTTTGATAAGGTACAAGCATGTAATAATTTGGATGGCAAGCCCACAGCATTGAGTTCATAAAATTCCACTAACTGCACCAGGTCCATGAATTTAGTGATTCCTTCATCTAGACTGTAGAATATTTGCCCATCCTGATTTTCACACTGCAAGACACAATCAGGTTTATTTAACAGCAGAAATATGTATTGGGAATACTATAAGACTATTAGAAGCTAATAATAATATATAACACATGGTATTGCGACAAAATATCAATACTATTTCAAGGAATACCATTCTTTGTCTTGAGTATCTATCATATGTACAACTGCATCAACAAGAAAATTCATGAAACTGACAACAAGAAAATGTACGAGTGAAAAAAAAGGTTGAGATGACAACTGGATGAGACTTATTACAGTGGAGGAGAACTAGTGTGCATACTTGAACCTTTTCACCACCAGACTTTTGTCCCAATTTTTCAGTATTTTTAGTTTTTAACCTTTTGACCGAATTTTTCAGTATTTTTAGTTTTTAACCTTTTGACCGAATTTTTCAGTATTTTTAGTTTTTAACCTTATGACCGAATTTTTCAGTATTTTTTTTTGAATTTTTTAAAACTTATTCACCACCAGACTTTTGACCGAAATTTTCAGTATTTTTTTCGATTTTTTTTTATTTTTGTCCCAATCTTATAAAGGAAAGTGCAGACTATAAACAAGACTATTTTGTGATGAATAGAGAGAACTGGTGGTGAAATGGTTAAATAGAAATAATTAAATATCATACTTACTTGACCAATCTGGTAATGCCTTATTTTGCCACCAAAGCACAGTGTCAGAACAAACACACCAGAAAGACTCTGACTCTCTCGAAGCAAGAACAATCCATCAACTGCTCCTTGTTGAGTTAATAACAACTCTGACTCCTCTCGGCTAACTCTACTATGAAACCAAGGTTGTGTAATATGGATACCTGTGTACACATACAATAACAAAATGTAATCAACAAACAAATTTACAAAAAACTTAAAAAAAAACCTGTGGCATACATAGATGTAACTGACATATACTGTATGTACAAAAGCATAAATATTTTCTTTGCGAGTCTAACACTACATGTTTTATCTACTGTATGATAGGATTATTAGTTTTACACGAATGTCTGTCAGTCAGTTTTATGATAGGTCGATTGTTAATTTTTACAAATCCTGTATTTTTGTCATTCTATAGTATGTGCAGCTGTGATCTGTGTCTTTATTTGATATTTATCTGAGAAAAAAGAAAATATTAAAGTATAACCATTTGTCATGTAGCATACATTGATTTTTTTGGTAAAAAAACAAGGTATGGTCCCCACATGGCAAGTACGTTGCTATATAACCTATTTCAAACATGGCGATTTTGATGTTTTAACAAGCAGTCTCTCGGCTGAGATAGTTCCACTGTTAGCAATGCACATTTCAATTAGAAAATTGAACATATCATCATGAAATGAACAAATCCTGAGAGAGGTCAACCTGTAGTACCTGTATGTATAATATCAAAGTAATCGGCCTTGCGGTTTTCAACACGTCGTCGAAAATATCACTTTTTACCAAAAATATTCATCAAAATTAGAGAATTGAAGATATCATCACGAATTGAACAAATCTGAAAGAGGTCTACCTGTGGTACCTATATGTATAATATCAAAGCAATGTGACTTATTTTTATTTATGGTTTTAGTTTATTAACATTAACACTCATGTACAGTGTACATTTTCAGTTACTACTTAAAAACAGTAGAAAGACAAACGGAACGTTATGACCTCAATCAATCTGAACACATTTATTCTGCTACGTTTACGACATCTTCATGTCATTGTACTCAAGAGCAAATCGACCTACTTTTTTGGCAATGTTTCTATAGCTACCATGGTATCTATCACATTTGCTGAAAATCGTACAAAATACATAAACGAATAAAATAATAAAGCATATTTCAAAAAAACAAACACTTAATCATGTAGATTTGATTGTGAAATGTTGCTTGTGGCAGAGACTGATTCAGGATTCTCCAAGCAGGCCACAAACAGCAATCAGTCAAAGCTTGAAGAATAGGTTTGACACTAGACAGATCTACAGATCTAAGATATATAACACACCTTTACATCGTATCTCACACAGCCACTCCATGTATGATAGCAAAGATACTGTAGAATACTTTATTTTCGCTTGGAATTTATTTTCGCTATTTTTGCTGAAGGGATGATTCCGTGAAAATAAAATCCAGTGAATATACTTTTTTTTCTTATATTTCACATTTAACTCATCAAAAATCAGTGAAAATAAATTCCATACAAAATGCCCAAAATGCTTTTTCAGCGAAAAATTAATTCCAGCGAAAATAAAGTATTCCACAGTAATTAAGATCTTATTAATTTGGAAAAAAGTTCAGCTCTAGATCTGTCTCCGTCACTTTTCATTTTAATTTGTTCACTGTGCAAAGTATATTAATTATAACTTCTGGAAATAGAGTTGAACCTTTGTACATACTGACCAGATTCAATTCCTTTATGTTGTATAGGACTGGTAATTCTCGGACTACTACTCAGTCTAGGACTTCCCATTGTTCTAGGTGTAGAACCACCTCCAGCTCTTTTCTGTAATCAATTAACACATATTATATATATATATTTCTGTTTTATTGGATACAGGTAAAGACAAGTTTAACCTTTTGAGTGCCAGACATTTTTCCTCGCCGAAATTCAGTGCGAATATTTTCACATTCTATAAAATTATCACTAAATTATATCACCATTTACAGATAGTTTAAGATATTGCTTCAAGGTTTGTCAATTTTTATTAACATTTTATGTGGGAAAGTGCAGACTGTAGAGAAATATTTTGTGGATGGTGCCGATTGGCGCTCGAAGGATTAACCAAATGATTGTTGCAGCCACAGTATTTACTACTATATATTCATACACATGTCAAGCACAGGTTTATCTCATCAAACTCGGTAACCTTGAACCAGGGTATCATAGTACATTGATCTGTCAAAGTCATATACCATGGTAGTAGTGATTATATCCTGAGTCGTACCATATGGATATTACAATTCAGTATCTAATCTTTATTGTAATTAGTTGCAGATACAATTTAACTTACCCTCCATTCGTGGCCTTCAGCGATAGCTACTGCGAAAGCTTCACACGGATTATCAACTATTCTACTCTGTGTCTGCGTAAAATCCATCGCTACGCGGTCTTTACAACTAGCTTTCATCTGTAAAAGACAACAAAATATATTAATATTAACAGTGACAGATGCCCAGTCAATTTCATGGGGAGGGGGGGGGGGATGTCTTATTTATCACCTTGTCAATGCTGATGGACACATCCAACTAGTACAAAAAAGCCAGAAATTCTAAAAGCACTACAAATTTGTGATAGTTTGCTGCGTAAAGCAATATTGAACCATGTCCAATGAACAACAAAAAGCAAATAGAAATCGACTTTTCTGACCAGTTTGGATTGAAAAAAATGGACAAATAACTCAAAACTAAGCACCTTAATTTTACAACAACATGAATTGCAAAAAGGTTCCCAAATATTACAGCAATAAATCTAAATTGGGGGGAGGAGTGTCAGGATGTAAAATATGTTACTACAAATGCTACCTTATCCAGGATTTGTTCTGTCATAATGAAACCTACAAGCAATAGGTGGTCACACTATGATGTCATATGTTCACATTTGTGTTAACCACCATGTGAATATCTGATAACAAATTTCGATCACTATAACATTAGCTTTTACAAGCTGTTACGTAACAACGTTGTCGATATGTTGTTTCAGTACCAGTTAATTGCAACAGTTCCAAACATCATTATTTCATTTTCAGGGCCTTTCTTGCCAACTAGACACTGCTGCACTGCTATAAGATCATTCTCATATTTAAAAAAAATTGTATAATGCACACATAAACCAGTTTGGACAGTTTGAATCACGTCAAAAGATACAGCATCGTGTGTGATGTTCATACCAAGTTTGAATAAAATTGTCCCAGGCATGCCTGAGAAACAGTTTATGACATGTACAAATTTTGCTGTATTTTTAACAAAAATGGCCAAGTTGGTCAAAGGTCCAAGAAATGGTTAAATCAACATAAAAACAACACAAACATGGTCAAAGCATAAAACAAACTGGTGTGCATTAGTAACCCATCATGTGTCACATTCAAACCAAGTTTAAATGCAATCAGCACAGACTTGCCTGAGAAACAGTTTTTTGTTTTGTTTTTATGAAAATGGCCATCAATCGGCCAATTACATATATCCAAATGAAAAAATAACTGAAGACATAATTCAACCTATTATGACTTGCCTTTGTACAAAATGCAAACCAATTCTGTAACACTATATCTGAGAAACAGTTCATGTAAGAAAACAAAATGACCATCAGTCTGCCATTTCAAACATGTGTCAGTAACTTCACCGTGATGTCAATGCAAATTTTGAATGAAATCAGTCAATGAGCAAATGTTGATTTCTACTTATTTTTGCAAAATTGCTACCAGTCTGTCACAAGTCAACCACAAAAAAAAATCAATAGACATTATGACTAATCTCTATATAAACTTTGAACAATATTGGACTAGCCATGTCTGAGAAATGATGATGGATGAACAGAAAGAAACCAAAACATGAGTCCCTGACGGGGACTAATATTTATAGCAAGATACCTGTAAAAATGATCACTTGAATGCCAAACCGTTGTCACCTTTAACAAAATAAACCTACATCATTTTTCACACTTATTTGCATAATAACAAGATGTCGCTGATAAGAAATTATGTTTAATTTGGTCAAAATTAACAAAGAAAAGTACATTTGTTAAATGTTGCAGCAAAATTAGGAGGCTAGTGACGCAACTGTCATGTACATGTATATGTAGATTACACCATGTGACCTAAACTGACATACAGTAGACTCTGCCATAGAATATAGTCATTATTTAATTTAATTTAATTAATACAATAGAACCTGCATGTGAATAGAAACACTGTCTTTTATCAACCTGCAACAGTAACAAAATCTCTTTTATCACTAATTAGATTCTAAATACATCCTCTTTGCTATAACATTACATAAATGAAAAAACCTAAACATTTTAGTACATCAACTACCATGCTTTACAGTACCTGAATGTTGCGATCCTTAAACTTTATGATGGTGTTAATGTTCTAATGTCAATAAATGTGCCCGAGGGGCACATAGATCAGATAATTTGATTGTAATTCAATTTGGGGATGTAAATTCTCGCTAACTAGAAACTAGGACACCTCAACCAAGTAGTTTATACTCATAAAGTTAATAATAAATAGAGCTAATTGGTCATATTACATTTATAGCAGAAATAATGTTGTTATTAAATATTAGTTACTTTTTATTAGGATTTGAATCAAACCAAGAAGAACACTATGAATAAGTCTTTAATGCCCTCTCCTACATCTCATCTCATTCTTGACAGAAATTATGGTCATTAATTAAGTTTTAAAAATCACCAATAATTAAAACAGGTCTTGTTATTAGATTAAACCCATCATAATATAATGGCTATAAATTACTTCATATTCAATACAACATATCAGAAAGGAACACATTTTGAATTGAGCAAATAATTGCATACCGTTGTTTCTTTCGTCTGTTTTTCACTTCATTACCAATAATAATACGATTCCTGTTCCACTCACAATAAATTCGCATATGTCAACATTTAGCCTTTGAATACCACCCAATCATATAAGACATGATGTCAGTATCAAAGGTCACCCACTTGAATAATTAATAAATCACATGCCCACAATTGCAAACTGACGGTTGATTCCAACACACAAACAAGCAGCCTGTCGGCTGAGATAGCTCCGCTGTTAGCAATGCACATTTCAAGTAAAGAACAGAAGATATCATTAGAAAATGAAAAATATGTATAGTATCAAAACTTGCTGTTTTCAACAAGAATTCAAAAATAATCATGAAAATTAGATAATTGAAGATATCACCACGAAATTAACAAATCTGAAAAAGGTCCACATGTAGTACCTATATATGTAATATAAAAGCAATCGGACTTGTGGTTTTTAACAAGTCGAAAATATCGCTTTTTACCAAAAATGACAAAAATATTCATCAAAATTAGAGAATTAAAGATATCATCACAAAATGAACAAATCTGAGAAAGAGAGGTCCACATGTAGTACTTATATATGTAATATCAAAGCAATCAGACTCGCCGTTTTTTACAGGAAGTCAAAAATATCAGTTTTTACCAAAAATGACAAAAATATTCATCAAAATTGGCAGAATAGAAGATATCATCACGTAATGAACAAATCTGAGAGAGGTCCACATGTAGTACCTATATATGTAATATCAAAGCAATCAGACTCGCGTTTTTTAACAAGAAGTCGAAAATATCACTTTTTACCAAAAATGACAAAAATATTCATCAAAATTAGAGAATTGAAGATATCATTATGAAATGAACAAATCTGAGAGATGTGCTGCTTTTCTAATAACGCAAATATGTTTACAGTATTTCACGGGCTCTAAATATTTCAACTTTGCAATGTATTGCTTTTATAATAATTACGCAAACTAAGTTATTTTTATTGTTGTTGGGACACTAACCCGGGCTATTGGGTCTGTGAATATTTCAATATTACCGACTTGATAATGCGTTGCATTCGTAATTATTACGCAATTATAAACATGGGCGCATTTAAATCATTGAAAAAGATAGTCAGGTCCCGGAGTCAGGTGTCTAACGAAAGTCGAGAAAATATTTTAAATACTTGTGACTCATCAGTGAATTATTTTATTCGAAATAAAGTGAATATGTAACCATACAATAACATACAATATCATGCGTAATGTTAATTTTTTCTATAATAAACTCGCAGCG